TGACTCAGCACCTCCTCCCTTTTTCACATTGGATGCTCGTCAGACGGCAGGTGGGTGGGGCTTCTGTGCCTGAGATTACCACATCAGACATCCCTTCTCACTGACTTCATAACGAGCCGTGAGCAATCAGGCATTAAGTGCAAACAACCTGACCTCATTTGAAACTTTAGCCATGGTTAATAAAATAATAAAAGCAACAAAAGCCTATGAGGTCCCCATAAAAACAGATACAGTGCGAATCTGAGACTGTATGAGAATTGGGGGACCCCGGGATTACTTTGGGGTCGTCTGCAACCATATGTTAAACAACAGGATTGAGAATTGGCGCCTCCAAGTCTGAGGCCAAGGTCAGAGGATGTAGTGTCAGGGCAGCAACTCTTCCCAGACCCAGGGAGGAATTTAAGGATCAGAGAGTAGTGCCAACGCTCCTCGGTGGCTCGGGCATCTGATAAGAATGCCTCCTGTGCTCCTTTTAGGTGAAGTTTTTCAGGCATGTGCAACTGGGAGGAGATCCCGGGGCAGACGCAGCACACACTGGAGAGATTATTTCTCTCAGCTGCTTTGGTGGTCCCTGCAGTAGAGGTGGAGGAGGTTGGCAGGACAAGGAGGGCCCAATATATACACAGAGTTTAGTCTTGTCCATCAAATGAAAATTAAGTCACCTGTGCAACCCACGCTAAATACATAAACACCAGAAAACTTAAACTACTAAAGAAATACAAGACAAAGAACGCTCGATCGATGATCACAGCCAAACTTCTATAGCTCCCCTGCTTTTCATTGTCTTTGTCTCGTCTTTCTTCTTGTTTTCGAGCTGCTTTCAGTTCAATCAGGGTTCATGTCAGCAGCTCACAGGCACGACCAAGGTCCTCGTCCTGTGATCTCACCTGGACTTTCTCATCAGCTTCATTAGACTCTGTATAGGAAATGGAAGAAATAAATAATCAGAAGTAAAAGAGTCATATATACAAGTTCATGTGAGTTCATCTGTTTACCATTTAATCAGTCAGTTGTTTGGTTCTTTTTAGAACTGGCAGAGTATGAATAAAATGGGAGTAAATGCAATAATTTCTCAGCGTAAACACATGTAACTCCTGCCAAGTGGAATCAGGATGATAACAATACCAGAAAAGTGCAAATGCACAAAAGCTAAAGGAGAATTATTTCACTGAGTCTGGCAGTTTGTAACGTTTAAGGCATTTTTCACCGAGGTCTGAGTGACACCAGAAGGGCTTATACACGTGGGTTTATACGTGTGTGGTGGAGGTGTGGTCCCTGCTGCAGGGGAGGGATGGTGCAGTGAGCTCAGGGGGGCAGTAGGCAGGTGAGGCCACAGATGGTGGCGATCTGACTAATGACAGTCTCTTCTCTTAT